TGATAAAATATTATATAATAGTTAAGAAAAATTGGCAAATATTTATAATCATTGATTTATCGATAGTTCATCAACTATATATGGCGCGTTTTCGTCCGGAGGCACCGGTTGACCTGAAGTGATGCTGTGACCGCGCGCTCTCCGCCCTCTATCTCGAAAACAGTTCACCGTATGAAAAATTGTTTTAAACAAAATTTGTAGAGAATTTTATATTCTACAATACAAGATAATAAATACAAATAGCAAAAAACCCATAGGAAATGAGATATTTACAAACCTTTGACCTTTGACCTTGAAATTTAATAGTTGCGTACACCCTATCTTATGTAGGTTTTGAGACAACTTTTAGGGTGTCAATATACAAGTATTTACAGACTTACAGCTGGGTATCTCGAATTCCGAGGTGAACTTACTATAATTACTGGACTATTATACGTTTTGGTATGGAAATTTCTAGAAGACAAATTTATCATGCTAGAAATATTTTTAATTTCTTCTTAATTAACAAAAGTATGATTATGTGATTAAAATATTGTGTTAAAAATTGTGTTTTGCTTGACCCGGCCGGTTTGCAGAATATAGTTGAAACTAAATTAGATGATGCTTTGAAATCCTTGAAAAACCAGATCGTGTCAGTAAAATTAGAGGTTGATCAAATGGCTGAATCTGAACCACCCGCTGTTCAACCTAAATACTCTGATGTGCTGAAAGACAAATCACAACCTGGTATTTTGATTCGTCCCAACAATAGCGAACAAGAACATAATCAAACCAAGGCCGATATCTTAAATGCAATTGATTTACGTCAGGAAAATGTACAGCTTGTTAAAGTTCAAACTGTTAAAGATGGAGGTGTTTTGGTTTCTTACAAAAGCAAGGCGGATAATACAAAATTTAGAACTTTGGTCCAGCAAAAGATGTCATGCGAGTACAGCATAAAAGATATTGAGGGCATTTTTCCTATAATACGTCTTGTTGGTTTGACAAGCAACTAATCTTCTGAAGATCTACATAATTATCTTTTTTCAGACAATAAACATATTCTCTCTGATAATTCAATATGCAAAATTGTAATATTATATCCAACAATGTTAAAGTATTTCAAGCTGTTTTACAACTCGATAAATTAGCTTATGAAAGAGCTTTAAAGGCAGGTAACATGTTTGTTGCTTATGATAGCTGTGCTGTGTTTGATGCGTTTGAGGTGTACAGGTGCTTTAAAAGTAATGATTTTAACCACTCTTCACAAAAATGTACGAAATCCGTTTCATGTTCAATATGCGGCGAAGGCCACGAACTGAACGACTGCAAATCAACCGAAAAAAAATGTACAAATTGTGTAAATTAAATAATCCCGGTGTAGCTACTAATCATGCTGTGTGGGAGAAAGAAAAATGTTCGGCATACATCCAGTCATTAAAAAAGTTGAGATCAAACTTATCCTCTAATTAGCAACCATCGACAAATTTTCTGTAAACACACTTTCATATAAATCTATGTATAAAAGTAAGAATAAAATATTAATATTTTATCAAAATACTCATGGACTGAAAACAAAAACCACAGATATGTTTAATTCTATCACACAAAGTGACTTCAAAATATTTGTTTCTACCGAAATCTGGTTGGACTCGTCGGTCAATAATTCGGAACTGTTTACTACAGATTTTAATGTTTCTAGAACAGTTAGTGATAAAACTCGAGGCGGTGGGGTGTTGATCGCGGTTCATGAAGAGTATATTTTTTTCTACTCGTATTGATTTGCAGTAATACTCTTGGCCGCTATTTAGATTCATTGACGTCTTGTTAATAAAAGTTAGATTAAATCTTAGACATATTTATATTTGTAATCTACATATTCCACCAGGAACACCTTTTGAGGAATACGAATGCCTTTTTGAGTCCCTAGAGTCTTTGGATTTTTTGTATGGAAATAAAATTTAGTTTTTACGTGATTTCAATATATCGGAATATGCTTTGATTCTTACCAACTCTCAGTCGAATGCAATATTAGATGCATTAAACAATTTTGCAGATGTTTTTGATTTAAAACAGAATAACTTTGTTTTCAATGAATATAATAGGCTACTAGACCTAGTGTACTTTAATAATTCCTGTTTTGTTAAAAAATCCGTAAATCCGTTGATAAAGGAAGATTGTCATCATCCAGCTTTGAACATTACATTAAAATCAGTAGAAAAACTAAATAATAGAAATAATTTAGAGTCGTCTTTCATAAATTGCTGTAACTTTCGTAAGGCGAATTTTCCGATGTTGTATGAAATGATTTCCAAAATTGACTGGACTTTTCTGGAAAGCTTTTATGAAGTTAATGATGCCTGTACATACTTTTATGGGAAATTATACAATGTGTTAGATAAATGTGTAGCTACGTATACAGTCCACAGTAAGAAAGTTTATCCTCCTTGGTATAATGGCGCTATTATAAATTTAATTCGCAGAAAATCCAAACTCTGGCGACAGTATAAGAGAGAGAATAATATTCATGCTTTTGAGGAGTTTAGACGCATAAGAAGTTGATGTAGATAGAGCCTATAAACAATATCTTAAAAAAGCTGAATCAGAAATAACGATTAATTCCAATAAATTCTGGGCTTACATCAGTAATAAAAAATGCTCCAATAAAGTTGGTAATAGCAGAATCTATGAAGGTAACTTTCTTCTTAATCCATAAGATATATTAAATGGCTTTGCTACCTTTTTTAGTAATTCTTATGTGCAGTCTTCAGCCGCAAATGTCCCTATAAACGAAAGCCACATGTATCACTTAAACATTAAAAGATTTTTAGAAAACCCAGTATTAGATACTTTAAAATCAATGAAACTCATGCGGACCACTGGGCTTGGCCATATTCCTGCTTTCCTTTTAAAAGACTGTAGCACTGGCTCCTCCTTTAACTATACTCGTACTTATAAATACCTGCATCCGGACTAAAACCATACCGTCAGTGTGCAAAGAGTCTAAGATTTGTTCCATATATAAAAAAGGAAATAAAACTGAGGTCGAAAATTATCAGCCTATCGCTATCATCTGTAACTTTAGTAGTGTTTGAAATGTTGCTGGAAGGTACAGTTTACCAAAACGTCCGCAACATAATATCGGATCAACAACATGGCTTTGTAAAAGGTCGTTCAACAGTTACAAATCTCTCCATAATTACGCAGTATATCTCAGAAAACATTGACAACCGAACTCAGACAGATGTTATTTATACGGACATGACAAAGGCATTTGATCAGCTTGACCATGGTATTTTGGTAAAAAAAACTAGCCTCTTTTGGACTTTCAAACAATCTTATTCAACTTCTTATATCATATCTCCCCAACAGAACACAATACTTTCAATTAAATGAATTTAGGTCTGATCAGTATTCTGCCACCTCCGGTGTTCCTCAGGGATCAAATCTAGGCCCGTTGCTGTTTAATATTTTCTTGAATGACATCGTGGATGTAGTTGATGTTGACTCTTTAATTTACGCCGACGACTTTAAATTTTACATAACAATTAAGAACGTCGCGGATTGTAAAAGGCTATCTGCAAATCTTCTGAGAGTTATCGAATAGTGTCGGGAAAATAACCTTAATTTGAACCCCTCGAAGCGCAATGTCATGTCTTATTCACTAAGCTCTGATCCAATTACTTACCATTACCGTATAGGCAACACTCTTTTATGCAGACCGAATAACTTTGTGGATTTGAGCGTTACTTTTGATTGAGCACTATCCTTCAATGACCACATTGACGGTATATTAACTGCGGCAAGCCGCATGTACGGATTCATAATTCGGAACTGTCGGGATTTTAAGAATGCAAGTACTTTAAAGTATCTTTATTATGCGTTTATCCGCTCATAACTGGAATATGCTTCGGTTATATGGAGTCCCAGTTACCAGGTACACGCTACCAGGTTAGAGGCTCTTCAAAGACGGTTTCTCAAATATTTAAGTTTCCGAGAAGACCAGTGTATCCTCCAATTGGCACCCCACATAACGAACTGTTAGTAAGACATAGTTTTTCGAGTCTTGAAGCAAGGCGCAAGTATTTTTCAGTCGTTACACTGCACAAAGTCATAACCAACAAAATAAATTGTAAAGACTTGCTGCATATTATGTAAAATTTTAGGATTCCCCGCCAAACTTCTAGGTGCAATGATACTTTTTACTTGACCATTCCACGCACCAACATTTTAAGCAAATCTCCATTATATGTCATGTGTAGTAATTGCAACAGCATAAACTCTGAGTTGGATATAGAATTTTGGACATAAAACATTTGCTTTTGTGATTATTTTATCGTTTTAAATATTCTGTTTTGTAATTTTATAATTTTTAATATTGTAATTTTTTTATATTGTATTTTTCTGATATATTTGTTTTGTCATATTTTACCTGTTCTTTAATTGGGAATTTTATGTAGAACAGTTTATAAAATAAAATAAGCAACGCCGTATTGGTGAAGAATTAAAAACAATTTATGAATTGAGAGGAAATCAAGAGGGTTTAAAAACTAGTTATGGGAATGGGTTTTTTGTTGATTGGAAGAATTATCAGAAGATTTTTGTTAGTTGAATACTAATTGTAAAAAGTAAAGTTTGAATTAATTTGGAGGAAAACCAAAATAAAGAAAATTATAAAGAAAGGTGAATGCAAGTTTTATTTTAAAAAAGAATTAAAACAGCTGAGATAGAGAGATGCTAAGATTGAGTGAGAGGAGCCCTGGAAGGAGTACCATCAGAGATGCAGAGAAACAGAAATGCAGAATCCCTAAGAACGAGTGAGAGGAACCTTGGTAGGAGTAACAGCAAATAGTCAGTAATCCAGACAAAGAGAGAGAACAACCGAAAAGATGTTGGAATGGAAAATTAGATATTAGTTCTTATTTTTGTGTATATAAATTTAAATAATGTATAAAAAAAAATTGAAATACTTGACTCATTCCATATTGAGAGCATATAGACTTAGGTATATAGGTACTTACTTTGGATCATTTAATATCTTATTTAATGCCTCAGTCAAGTCCTCTTCGGTAATAGCTGAAAATGAAAGTTTGACCCCATAGCCAAGAGTTTCCATTTTAGCTGCATTTAGTTTTTGATCTCCGAACACAGGTAAAGCGAGTACCGGTACTCCATGATAAATTGTTTCCAAGGTACTCAGTAATCCTCCATGAGTAATGAATAGTTTGACATTTGGATGGGCTGCAAGTAAACATAATTAGTTGGTAACTGCATGTTACAGTAATTTATTTATTTATTCTTAAAAACCCAAACACATTTTACAACCTTTTTCCAAGGGTAGCAAGTACATTAATTATTATTATACAATTATTATACAGGGTGTTGCATCGAAAACGTACCGCAAGGAATTACAGGCATTACAGAGGGTAAAAGAACTTTTCGGCAAAATTCAAAAACACGTCGTTTGTTTGTCAAGGGGACACCTTTTGACGCAAAAAGCATAGTAAAACATTCAACCCCCTCAGAAAGGGTTTCATCCTCCAAATGTTTTTTAAAGAGGAAGGGGGTCAAGTGATACTTGATTAAAAGGGTCATTCCCTATACAACTATGCTGAGTTTCAGATGCGAGCGTGTTCTAATAAGTATAAACACTAAATTTTCACTTTAAAAAATAAATATGTACATTAAGTGGTTAATGTGTTTTTGGATTTTGCCGAAAGTTCTTACCACCCTGTAATGTCTTGCGGTAGGTGTTCAATGGGCCACCCTGTATAGAGAGAGTATAATAGTACACGGTCTGGTTAATTGCCTTGTAAATTATTAAAACTAATAAAGAAAAAAATGGTAATATTTTTTTTTATTTCCAATAATGGACCCTAAAAAAATAAAAAACAAGAAGAAGAAAAAAAGAAAAGGAAAAAAAAAGAAAGAAGAAGAAAAAAAAGAAAAACGAAAAAAAAAACGAAAAAAGAAAAAAGAAAAAAGAAAAAAGAAAAAAGAAAAAAGAAAAAAGAAAAAAGAAAAAAGAAAAAAGAAAAAAGAAAAAAGAAAAAAGAAAAAAGAAAAAAGAAAAAAGAAAAAAGAAAAAAGAAAAAAGAAAAAAGAAAAAAGAAAAAAGAAAAAAGAAAAAAGAAAAAAGAAAAAAGAAAAAAGAAAAAAGAAAAAAGAAAAAAGAAAAAAGAAAAAAGAAAAAAGAAAAAAGAAAAAAGAAAAAAGAAAAAAGAAAAAAGAAAAAAGAAAAAAGAAAAAAGAAAAAAGAAAAAAGAAAAAAGAAAAAAGAAAAAAGAAAAAAAGAAAAAAGAAAAAAGAAAAAAAAAAAGAAAAAAGAAAAAAGAAAAAAGAAAAAAGAAAAAAGAAAAAAAAAAAGAAAAAAGAAAAAAGAAAAAAAAAAAGAAAAAAGAAAAAAGAAAAAAGAAAAAAGAAAAAAGAAAAAAGAAAAAAGAAAAAAGAAAAAAGAAAAAAGAAAAAAGAAAAAAGAAAAAAGAAAAAAGAAAAAAGAAAAAAGAAAAAAGAAAAAAGAAAAAAGAAAAAAGAAAAAAGAAAAAAGAAAAAAGAAAAAAGAAAAAAGAAAAAAGAAAAAAGAAAAAAGAAAAAAGAAAAAAGAAAAAAGAAAAAAGAAAAAAGAAAAAAGAAAAAAGAAAAAAGAAAAAAGAAAAAAGAAAAAAGAAAAAAGAAAAAAGAAAAAAGAAAAAAGAAAAAAGAAAAAAGAAAAAAGAAAAAAGAAAAAAGAAAAAAGAAAAAAGAAAAAAGAAAAAAGAAAAAAGAAAAAAGAAAAAAGAAAAAAGAAAAAAGAAAAAAGAAAAAAGAAAAAAGAAAAAAGAAAAAAGAAAAAAGAAAAAAGAAAAAAGAAAAAAGAAAAAAGAAAAAAGAAAAAAGAAAAAAGAAAAAAGAAAAAAGAAAAAAGAAAAAAGAAAAAAGAAAAAAGAAAAAAGAAAAAAGAAAAAAGAAAAAAGAAAAAAGAAAAAAGAAAAAAGAAAAAAGAAAAAAGAAAAAAGAAAAAAGAAAAAAGAAAAAAGAAAAAAGAAAAAAGAAAAAAGAAAAAAGAAAAAAGAAAAAAGAAAAAAGAAAAAAGAAAAAAGAAAAAAGAAAAAAGAAAAAAGAAAAAAGAAAAAAGAAAAAAGAAAAAAGAAAAAAGAAAAAAGAAAAAAGAAAAAAGAAAAAAGAAAAATAGTAAAAGAAAAAGTACAAGAAAAAAAAAATGAAAAACAAGAAAGAAAAAAGAAATGTACACACAGTGTTATTGAAATACATGTACATATTAAAAGTGACAAGAATGGCTCCAATTTTAGCATTAAACTAAAAACTTTTTTATGTTAACGGGTTAAATGCTACGGGCGACGGCGGTCGAATACGTGAACTTAATAATTTTTTTCAGTCGACCAAAAAAAAATATACAATCAGTATTTTGAAATCATGATTTTGTTAATAAAAAATATTATTGTATACATATTCAATAGTAAAATTAATAAACTGTTCTTTGTCACTTTCCCTAAATAAAAGGTAAGAGATTAAAATTACATACTGAGACTCGGGTACTCGGGGTTAACGTTCTAAGTTGACCTGGATTTTGTAAATTACCTATGCCAATTTCAGTGGAGTATACCTGATTTGAAAATAATATTTTAGCACATTCTAAATTAAGCCTTAATGTTTTATTATATACATGTATTTAAATATCACTCTATTCCCCACTCGACCATTCACTGTTGGGTTCTAATTAACAGTGCTGTTTCTAAAGTGGCACACGGAAACAGTAACAAGGCCTGTCTGTAGGGGTGTAGGAGTATTAGAATACTAGTACTCCTGCAGTATGGAATATTAGACTACTAGTACAATCCATAACCTACATAGAACACAAGGCTAATGACCTTAGATGTTGAAGCCGTACACCAAAGAAAAAAAAATATCACTCTATAATAATACAGACTAGTGATGCGAATTTGTGTCAGTCAGGTGTAAGTACTTTAACTGTAAGCTCTATTGAGCGGAAACATTTAAGAAGGTAATCAAATACTGCAAATACTTACCTAAAATATCTGATTGTGGAAACCACTTTCCCAGTTTAACATTATCAGGTTTTCTATGCAACGTATCCTCGTCGTATTTCCACAAAACTCTCTGCTTTAATTTTCTCAATACCTTAGTTAAAGTATCTCTAATTTCGGGTTTAACTTTAGACAATTGGATATTGGAACCCATGCTGAAGTAGATAACGCCATCGTCAGCATTATCTAGGTACTTTTTCAGATCTTTCGGCAACTCTTTGGGCGGATTAATGTGGAAGCCACCGACGTTAATTGCACTGGGTACCTGTGGTACTGATTCCGAGATACTTTCGTGCGTGTTTAGCAGATAGAAAGATACATTATTAAAATCGTAATCGGCACATTTCGGTAAATATTTTTGTACGAATTTCCTCTGAGCGGGGTAGAATATCAGATTGTTGTTCAATATTTGCACCAAAATCGTCAACGAATTGAAAGTCCTTTGCCATAAATTCATCTTACTGGAATAGCTCAAGAAAACGTCCGGTATATAAGATGGCGGCGATGGATTGGCTGTATCCACGTTGACCCAAACGTTCGCTCCAATGGTACTGACCATTATCAGTGGGACATTGAAGTGACAGCTCAGAGCTTTCATCGCATCAAACTTGAATTGTTCCATGATGATTAAGTCGAACTTTTCGTTTAGTAGTTTCTTGAAGTTTACATGTTCGAATGTTTTGTTAACTACGTCGTTACCGAGAAAATTCATAACATAAATGCTTAACCATGGATGCATGTTTTCCATGTCGAATAAATTGACTGGGGTAACTTCTGAAACATAAAAAAAGGATACAATAAATTACTGTTTTTTATTCAAAAGAAATAAAAAACAAGATAAAAATTGTGGGTAGATATAAGCGGAATTTAGAACAACCCCGCGGTGGCCGGCGCTTTCTCATTCGAGTGTAGTTGATGATAGTGTAAACACGCATAGCGTTTGTAAATTTTTAAGTTCCCATATTTTTTGTTGTGGCTAAGTTAATATTAGTGGCAAGGTATGCATACTATATAAAATTCTTAGTAGAGTTTCTTAGGTTTTAGAAATACTAAAATAGCGACTTTGACTCAATTCACTAAAAAGATATAAGCATGCTTGTGTCAAAATATCCAATGGGGCAAGTTGTCACATTGTCGAGGGGGCTAGTTGTCACAGTGATAATATGCCCCGTTGGATAATTATTATGGGATTATTAATATGATTTCTTTACAGATGGTTCGAACATATCGAAAAAAAACCGATAGATCGGATCGACCTGATGGCGATGTGTTACTAAAGGCTGCTTTAGCCTTTAGAAATAAGGAAACCCCCATATCAATCAGACAAGCTACAGCACATTTTAACATCCACTACAGAACATTGGCAAGGTTTTGTAAGAAAGTTACCGATGAGGAACTTGCTTCCGGTCATTCTAATGTTAAGATGGGATACAAGAAAGCCAGGCAAGTTTTTAGTGATTCCGAAGAACTAGATTTGGAGAACTATTTAAAGAAGGCTTCAGATATATATTTCGATTTAACTCCTAAAGAGGTAAAGAACTTGCTTATGGTTACGCAAAAGCTCTGAACAAGAAAATGCCTCAAACATGAACTCAAAATCATAAGGCCGGTCCAGATTGGTCCACTAGTTTTTTAAAACGCCGTATGAGACTGTCAATACGAACACCACAAGCCACACGCTTGTCCAGGGCCACGAGCTTTAATAAAACGAACGTGGGAACTTTTTTTGACAATTTGGCAATTCTGTTAGACTGTCATCATTTTCTCCCTGGTGATATATATAACATGGACGAAACTGGAATAACCACAGTACAGCGACCTGATCGTATAGTTGCTCAAAGTGGATACAAGCAAATCGGTTAGCTAACCTCAGCTGAAAGAGGCACGTTGGTAACGTTGGCTGTTGCAGTTTCTGCTACTGGAAATAGTATCCCGCCCTTATTCGTTTTCCCTCGTGTTCATTTTCATGACCATTTTCTGCAAATCTCCCCTCCTGGAAGCGTCGGAACATATAATCCGTCCGGTTGGTTGAATCAAGAGCATTTCCTGATATTTATTAAACACTTTGTTAGCCACGTCAGATGTATAAAGGAGAGACCAGCTTTACTACTTCTAGACAACCATGACTCACATTTGTCAATACCTGCTTTGAACTTCGCAAAAGATAATGGGGTGGTTATATTATCATTTCCACCTCATTGCTTCAGACCTTGGATCAGAGTGTTTATGGCCCATTTAAAAAATTCGTTAATTCGACTTGTACTTCGTGGATGAAGAACAACCCTGGAAAGACGATTACAATTCACAATATTCCAGAAATAGTTACAACTGCTCTGCCACTGGCAATTGTTCCTATTAATATCACGTCAGGATTCCGAGTCACTGGAATTCATCCATTTAATAGAGATGTTTTTACAGACCAGGACTTCATGCCTAGTTACGTAACAGACCGTCCAGATCCAACTGAAGCAACCGAGGAAGCAAAATTACATGACCAACCTCAGGAAAATTTAAATGGGGTTTTCGCTACACCTGCACCGCTGCCTCGAGCAGGATCCTCAGGGATAAATCTCTCATCGTCTTCTTCCAAACCACGTCTGACGTCATCAATATCGCAAGTTACTCCTGAAACTGTTCGTCCCTTGCCAAAAGCAGGAGCAAGGCAGATCACCAACAGGAAACAACGAAAAAAGCTGAAGTCTGCAATTTTGACGGACACTCTGGTCAAAGATGAGATAAAGGCAATAAGAGCCAGTTCCAAAGCCAAGCAAATAAAAAGGAATGTTTTTAAGGGAAAAAAGAAAGGTAAACAAAAGCGAAAACTTTCTATACAAGAAGATGAAGAGGAGGAAGAAACATTTTGCTTGGTTTGTTACGAGAGTAGCATACCTAAAGAGCCTTGGATACAATGCACCCAATGCAAGAACTGGTCGCAAGTTAAATTTATTTAACTCGAAAATAATTTTTTAAAAAAACAAAAAATTACTTTTCGAAGATTAGAGACTTTATTTATGACTTTATTCTACAACAATCTAAGCTGGAATGAATTTTTATAATACAATTTTAATGATAATAATAAATGCAAAGTTAACAGTTTGCGCCGTTTACGGTTTTATATTTTAATAGACTCGACGTTTCCTCTTATATAACTCCTCCCTCCTTAGGCGAAAACAATACTGATATGAGGTTGTTTTCGGGTTGGTGGTTTTCTTCCGAGAGATTTTGGTGATTTTTGGATTTCTTCTTTCGGTACCATACGTAGATAATAGTAGATACCAAGGCAATTACTATCGTTAGGCTGGGCACATTCCAAATTATGGGGTGGATTTCTTGTGGAATTTGGGTGGATTTTGCTATCTTTTGTAATTCTTGGATGGCTTTGAAGTTTATTGAATGTAATTTCAGAGGAAGGTTTTGGTAAATTGAATTTGATTTTGATGGACTCCATTCCATTTTTGGCAATATTAGAGGGTTTCCAATTACATTTTCTTCTGTGTTTTCATATAGGGAATTTTCTATTTTAATACTACATCCCTTGGGAATTTTGATAATTGTATTGACGTTGAATATGGCTATTTTCTTTCTTTCGCAGTTTATCCAGACTTTTACGGGAATTTTGGTAGGTAGTACTAGTAGGAATTTATTGTTGATTTGTTCTATTATGGGGTGATATAGAACTATTTTTTCGACTTTGCAGACTGATTTTTCGGCTCGAATCAGGGCTATGGCACAGGTGTTGTTTGTGACATCTTCATGGTGTTCGCAGAAAAAGATTCCCTCGATTTGTGGGCAAGGTTTATCTTCATATTGATGGAGTTCGGTACTGAGTACGAGGAAGGGACTGGGTGTTATGATTATGGAATTTTCATAGGGCAAAGGAATAATGTGATAGGTCAAGAAATCGCTGTTAATTAAAATAGGAATGTGAATAGCAAATATTATTTTTGATTTTTCGAATTTTACTTGTATTCCTGCTAATTGGAAATAATTGTATGGATTTTTAAATTTAATGACTTTTGTTTCGCCGTGAATTATTGAAACATGTTCTATCAAATTTGTCAATTGTTTTAAAGGAATTATTGAAGTGTGTAAGCTACCTAAATGGGCAAATATAATAGCATTTTCCAAGTTATCTACGAAATTTATTAAATTTTGGCAATTCAAAATTATTTGATCAAGAGCATTGGGTAACCGTATATACATGAACATTTGATCGGTAAAATTTTTTGATTTGTTGCAAATATCATTAAGTCTCTCTTGTAACAGTAACTGGTTTTTGTAAAGGTTATTTATTGTCTGATTATAATGGTTAATGAGCTGGATGTTGAGAGAGGATTGTAGTTGTAATTGATGTGAAAATGAGTTTTGATTTTTAATTAAGTTTTGGATTTGAGTGTTATATTTAATTTCGTCTTCATGGTCTAGAGTGCCAAAAAGCCATTTACTGGCTGTTCCGATTCCGTCAAATAAGCCTCTTTTATTTCTAATATTATTATTATTTTTATTTTCGAAAGTTACAAAATTATTTAATTTTAATCTTGTAGTATTTAGCAAATATTTTGCGTGTTCGAACAAATTTATTACAAGTCCCACATCTTCGAACTTGAGTTACTAATAAGTCCGTTTCAATGTAATGAAAAAATGTATGTTTTGTTTGTATTAATTTTGTTTTTCCTATATCTAAGGGTAATAAAGGGGTATTTAATTCTAATATTTCTACATCGCTACTTTTTATTACAACCGGAAGTGGAAGGCTGAGGATCAGGGGTATTATCGTCCACATTTCGATCGTTCTGTAAAGAAAGTCTAATATTAGCATATGGTTTTTTTACCTTTGATTTGTGTATAGTTCTATTTTTTGTTATTAATATTTTATTTCCAAGGTCTTTGTTTACTGAATGTTTTACGAAACGAGGCTTTGATTTATTTCTGGTAGCTTCTCTATTTTTTACAAATATTTCTTGTCCTTCGGTATATACCGTTGGATTTTCGCGAGTTTCGTTGCGATTTCCGATGACCTTTTCCTTTTGTTGTACCGTTTTGTCGAAAATATGCTGATAAAGTGTTTTTAGTCGAATTTTTCTTTCGTTTATATATTCGTTAATGAGATATTCGTCCGTTAAGTCAAATGGGTCAAGAGCTTTTGTATTGCCTAGAATAATGTCGTATGGTCGATGTCCAGTCACGCTGTGTATCGAGGAATTGTAACCTATGACACCGAACTGTACAATTTGTTTTATATGCATATTAGGGTGTTGCAGTTTTAAAACTCTACAGTTTTCTAAGAGGGATGAATGAAATCGTTCCACCGGACTGTTACTGTTTGAATTTTGGGGTGTCGTAAAATGGATTCTGATTTTATGTAATTTGCAAAATTCCTGTAGTAATTCGCTTTTAAATTCTGTTCCACTATCGCTTACGATTGAACATGGAATTCCGAAGTGTGATACAAAGATACTTAAACATTCAATAATCGTTGCAGAATTTAGGATTGGCTCGATAACATACGCCTGCCCGTATTTTGAGAATGAGTCGAGGATTGTAAGAAATTTAGTTTTCATAATTTGGAAAACGTCTATATGAATAGTTTCGAAGGGTTTTGTGGGGGTAGCTGTGAGTGAAAATTTAACTTTTGGAGGGTGTCTGTCATATTTCGCTTGATTACATATGTCGCAAAGATTTATATACCGTGTGATATCTGAATTTAAGTCTGGCCAATAGTATTTGTTTCTCAAAGCAGTTTGTGTTTCGTTAATTCCGCGGTGGCAAGTTTT